GTGCTCATGCTCGTGTGCGTGTGTGCTCCCCGAGCCTTGGACAGCACCCACCCGCGCTCGATCCCCTGGAGCTCGGACGTCATCGGCGCCTCCCTGACGGTGGCCGCCGGCGCCTGCGGCGCCCCCTCTTCGACCGCGGGGGCCGCCCGCACGGCCTCGAGCAGCAGGGCGTGGGCTTCGCTCCGGAAGCAGCTGCCGCAGGCGAGCTGCCTGCCGCGTGGCCGCCCTGATGCGCAGCGGGCAACCCGTGGCCGGGTTGATTCGCGGCGCGCACGAGGGGGCGGCGGGGGGGGGGAGGCTTCTTAGGAGGAGGCTGCTTATGAGAAGGCGCCGGCCCCACATCCATAGCAGACCGGGCCCGCGCCTTCCAAGACGCAGGGGTGCTTCGAAGAAGCCTGCCCCGCTCTCCCTGCCCCCCCCTGCGCGTGGCCGACTTGGCACGGCGCTCAGCACGCAGACTGACAGCGTTGGTCTGGCGCGAAGCGTTCGCCAAAGCCTGGCCATCGCTCGGACGTCCATTCCCTGTGTTTTTTCGATCTCGTGCGTGGTTTTTTCGCCAAATGATCAAGGATGCTCCTCGATGGTCCTCGCCGAAGGAAAAACGCACACGTCCGAGCGGTGCCAAGAAGCGTGGGCCAACACGTGCCGAGCCAGCACGCAGCGTGCTGGCACGGACGCTCTGCACGCGGCGCGCGCTGCGTTGCAAGGCGGGCGCAGCAGGGCAGCCAAGGCCTGCCGATCTCGCCGGGGTCCGCGAGCAGGACCTCCCGGTGGAAGAGGTCGCGGAGCGCCTGCTGCCCGCTGCGGCCCGCCTCCCTGGCGTCCTTGTGGAAGGACTCGGGCACCTGCAGTCTGCCCAGCCAGGCGTCGGGGAAGCTGCCCAGCGTCTGCAGGGGAGCAAAAAAAAAGACGGCATCAACGCAAAGTGTCGGCGCTCCAGGTGGGTTTTTCTTGGATCGGCGCTGGGCTCCTCCATGGCGTGCGGAACGCGCCAGGGGCGGCGCTGGAGGCGCCGTCAGAGAGCCCAGCGCAGATCCAAGAGGTCCACTTTTGGGTACGCAGGCGCACGAAACAAGTCGGACGCCGGGCAAGCAGGGGCAGGCTATGCCGCCTGCGCAGGAAAAAAACAGGGCACCGAGCACGCCGGGGCAGGCGGAACTCAGGGGCGGCCAAGAGGGCGGATGCGGGGGAGCAGCACCAGGACCGCGGAGTAGGTACCGGGCGTGAGGAAGAGCCAGCGCAACCAGAAACGGCGGAGCGTCCAAGAGATCCACGCGGAGCGGCGAAAGTTGTGCCGCCGTTTCTTCTCCGGGCCTGGTACTTCCCCACGAGCCAGCCCAGGCCGCACACCGGGAAGGTCGGGCGGGTGGCAGTGGGGGGTGGCCCACATCGGGGGCGCAGAAACGGGCCCCAAAGAAGGGCCCCCTTCGGGCCCTGTTCTTCACCCCCAATCAAGGTCACCCCCCATTACAGCCGGGGCTGATTGGAGAGGGCACGCGAGAGGACACCAGACCCTTCCGAGGGCCAGGATGCCACAGGAGTGCAGCATGCGTGGGCCGCGAAACGTTGGACACGAGGGCACCCTTGACCTGGCAGCGTCGACCTACGAATCAGCCTCGGCTGCACCGCCCGCCCGGCAAGTGCAGGATGCAGGGGTCGCTGCACTCCCGGTAGCCCTCGACGTCGAAGTGCCGGGGGTCGGCCAGGGCAGTGCGCGAGCAGCGCCCCTCGGGCAGGCGCCACGCGTGCTGGCTGCGGGGGCGGGCGCCGAGCGCCGCGCGGCAGGCGCTCTTGCCGTTGTCGTAGAAGAGGAGGAACTGCCCTCGCCGGGACCTCTACGGGCGGCGAGTGCATCCGTGCCCGCGCCCTCGCGGCCTCTGGACTCCGGGGCAGGCTCGCGCGGATAAGGCGCGGTCGCACGGGCATCCGCGGACGCAGCGCCCCGCATCCGCGGGGTCGCGGCCCAGGGCCCCGGCCCGCGAGGCCGCGGATTCGGATGTGCCTTTTGCCCGCGAGGGCCTGCTCATCCAATAGCGCAGCCCACCGCGGGCCTCCTCCGTGAGCGGCACGGCGAAGTGGTGACGCCGGAACAGCGTGACCGTCGCGAAGTAGTCGTCGGTGTCCGCGGCCTCGGGCACCCCCTCGTGGTTGAGGTACGTCATCTGGTCGATGCCGGCGGCCGCCAGGGACTCGAAGTGCGGGACCACGGAGTCCGCCTGGGTGTAGAACAGCTCGTCGGAGTCCAGGCACACCACCCAGGAGCAACCCACCTCCGGCGCCAGCGCCATCGCCAGCTCCGCGTCCAGCATCTGCCGCGCGGATACGTCGGAGCCCAGCAGCGGCTCCAGTTCCGCGAAGGAGGCGCAGCGGCGGCGCTGCTCCTGCAGCAGCGCCTCCCCGCGGACGCGCACCGAGATGCGGGCCTCTGGGAACCTGCGCAGCGCGTCGAGCGCGGCGGCGTCCCCGGCGTCGTCGACGACGATCATGACGCGCGCGAAACCCTTGGCGAGGTGGAAGCGCACGAAGGACTCGAGCGGACGTGCCTGCCCCCCCGGCGCGCCCCTGAAGCTCACGGTGGACACCACCATGGCGGCCCCCGGGCCTTCCGCGACCAGCCCAGGGCCCTGCGGGCTGCACCTGAGCGTGGGGGCGAAGGAGGCCACGGCGTGCTCGAGGACGACCCAGCTGTCGGGTCCCTCGTGGCCCTTGAAGCGGAAGCGCCCTCGGAAGGGTGCCTGCAGGGCTCCGTCCAGGTACTGCGGCAGCCAATACGAGTCGTCCGCCCACATGTCCCGCAGGGGGACGTCCTCGTGGCAGAACCAGACGGGCCTCATCTCCTCGGTCTCTACGGGCTCGCCCTCCCAGCGGTCCAGGTCGTACACGTTCACCTCCATCGCCTTGGGCTTCGTGTCGTAGACGGTGCCGGGTGTTGCCGGATGTGCCCCTGGCCCAAGGTGCCCCCAGGCCTTGCAAGGAGGCGCCCGCGGCCTCCCGAGCACCCCTCACGAAGCCCAGAGGGCCCCCGGGGCTCCAAAGTCAGGCGAAAAGCTGGGGGAGGGCACCCTGGGCCAGAGGCACCTCCAGCAGCCCCCGAGCATGTAGGTGAGGACGCCGCGCCAATGCAGGTCGGCCGGAGCCGCGCGGAGCCCCGACTCCTCGAGCAGCTCCCGCGCCGCGCTGTCAGTGATTCCCTCCTCCCTCTCCTGGGGGACCCAAAAGATGCCGATACCGCTTCTCCCTGGACCTCTCCCGGGATGCGCTCTGACCAGAATTTCGAGGCGAATCTGGCGGTGGCGACGAGGGCCTCGCAGGAGGCCCACGAAGGGGAAGAACGAGGGAAGGGTAGCTAGAGGCCTCCTAGATGGGGTCGGAGTAGATGGGGTCGGAGAATCGCGCCGCATCGCCAATGCATCGGCGATGCATCGGGGATGCACCGGCGACGCATCGTCGACGTGGGCGATGCATGGGTGACGTCAATGTGAAGCAAATCGGGCTCCACATCGAGCCGCATCGGCGATGCATCGACGATGCGGCGCGATCCTTCGACACCATCCACTCCGACACCATCTGGGAGGCCTAGAGTAGCGTTATCGGCACCCCTTCCTCCTAAAAAAAACACTCGACAAATCGTCCCCTGACTCTTTTTTGACTATTTTTGAATGTTCCTCCTGTGGAGGGACACGCCCGACCTAAGGGCAGCGGCATCGGCACCTTTTCCTCCCCTGCTCTCCAGCTTCCCGCCGAAGCCGTTGAGCTTGCCCTCGCCGAAGCCCCGCTTCTTCAGGCCCAGGAGCACCCGCCGCTCGGCGCGCTGCCTCGCGTAGACGAGGGTCAGCACGGACACCTCGCGGCTCTGCATGGCCCCCAGGGGAAGCTCGGCGGCGAGCGGGGGGGGAAGTGTTAGGTCGGGCGTGTCCCCCTACAGGCGGATTTGGGACGAAAAATAAGAAAATACCCCAAACATCCTCCAAAATCATCAACAAAAATACTCCAAAAATCGTCCCCTGACGATTTTTTGACTATTTTGGAATATGCCTACTGTCGAGGGACGTGCCCGACTTAAGCATGGCCAGGGGAAGATCGGCGGCGAGCGGGGGGGGGGAGTGAGAAGGAGAAGACCCTCTTAGAAGGCGGCAGGGCTTCTCAGAAGCCCTCGCGCCTTCTGAGAAGCGCCCTCCGTGCCGTCGCGGAAGGCTTGGCAAACTTCTCGGAAGGCCGGGGAAGACTTCCGAGCCTTCTGAGAAGGCCCGCCCCCTCTCGCTTCCTCCCCCCGGGCTCGCCGCCGAAAAAGAGGCGGGAAGGGGGAGGGGGAGGGGGAGGGGGAGGGGGAAGGGAGAGGACGCACCTCTCTTGCCGCGCGCGCACTGCTCGAGCCACAGGCGCCGCGGAGCCCCACCTCGCATCGCGCGCGCGCGCCCCGCGAGAGGCGGCGCCCGCCGCACCCCCCGGGGCCTCGCGGTGGGGCAGGGCAGCCCGCTCCTCGGCGGTGCACCCCCCCCCGCTTCGGAAGCAGCGCGCCGAGGGGGCGACGCCGGAGGCGCCGCGGGGGGGCCCCATCCGCGCGGAGCGCCAAACGTTCATGTGTATAGCGTCCTTTCTTCTTCGAGGGAGGGCTGCCCGAGAGAAGCCGGGTCTCCTCCGAGGGCAGCCCGCGCTGCACAGACACTCTTCCAAGGCAAGGATCACACCAGCATGGTGACGGCTCGCGCGCGCGCCGTGCGCAGCGCGCAGCACGAGCCGAGCGAGGAGAGAGGTCGCGAGGCAGATGTCCGCAGCCCTCATCGAGAGGGACGGGGGCCGCGCGCCGCAGACGTGCAGAGGACGTGGCACGCGGCGGACAGAGCGTGGGCACCCTCAATGCTGCAGGGTCGACCGACCGCCGAGCATGTTCTCAGGGTGGAGGGCTCTGGGCGAAATGCATGTGGGCTCTTGCACCTCGAAAATCGATCCGTCTTGTGATTCACATGTTGCGGATTCGAGCCTTGAAAATCCATCGAAACGGCATTTCAGATTTCACCCGTTGCCCTCTACCAAAAAAAAATGCTAGGAACTAGTCAGACCCGACTGCAGGGGGGCGATATTTCCCCTCCTGCCTTTCGGAGCCGCCCCTGGCGCTCATGCAGGGGCAGTTCACTAGGCACCAACGTTTGAAGCTTATTCTGCAGGTCAGATTCATAGAGAACCGAATGGAACTCTGAATTCGAAGCATGTCTGCAGCAAAGTGAAACCCTGGCAGGGGGGGCCCGATGCTCCAGCATCGTTGATCGGACCCACAGGATTAGGGTTCGCAATTGGTTGCAGATTCATGTCAGGGACCCCCAAAGGAGGCACAGAAATCGTCTCGAATCGGAATGCGCGCCAGAATTATGGAGCTGCAGCGGCGAGGAGTCAAAATCGAGTCGGATCGGGGCCAGGATGCACAACATCGCCATGCAAGCATCGGGGCACATCGGATCGTCGGAGTAGTCGGAGTCGAATCGGATCGAGCCAGCTGGCATCGACATCGAAACAAATCGAGATGGACCTTGCAGGGACCATTCTCATCCAGGGGGCCCGAAGCTGGCCACGGCACACCCAAGGACAAAAGCGCCGTCTCGTCCCTTTCAAAGCCGCCAGGTTGGGCGACTGCCTAAGTGGAAGCGGCCAGGGGGTCTGCGCTGGATGGGATGGGCCCCGCGAAAATCGATCAAGAGGGGGGCCACGGCCAAATCCGCTGACCCCTCCTGTGATCAGCAAACAAACTACCCCTAATCCTTTTGAGAGGGGACCTAACTTAGATGGGCCAAGAACATGAGGGAAGGCCCAGAGGGGGAGCCCGAAAGAACAGTTCGAGCTCTTGGCGCCCGGAGAGCGCCAGAAGGGCCCCAAAAAGCCCCCAGACGCTGCCAGGAGGCCCCAACAGGTTCAAAAACTGCCTCCATGACGCCCCCGACGCGCCTCCCACGCGACCCACCCCATCAGCCATCCGAACGGCGTCAAACCCGCAACCCAGGCACGGAGGCGGAAACCCGCAACCCAGGCACGGCGGCGGGGTGTGCCCAAGTTCTGGCATTTTGGAAGACGCCCACCGTCTGCAAACGTGGGCTCTCGCCCGATGCCCCATGCGTGCACGGCGAAGACAGAGAGTGTCAGCCGCAGAAATCACTACTGGCGGTGCGGGCGGAGCCGCCATTGGCGGGGGGCCCGGGATAACCCTGCACAAGCACGCAGTAGACTGCCCAAGAAGGGCCCCCGCACGCCCCACATCTCTCCAAGACGCACACGACGGCTGCAGAACGGCCCCGTAAGCCTCGAACGCGCTCGACGAGAACCCCAAAAAGCTTCCCACAAGGCCCTCCGACAGTCTTTCAGCCCGAGACGTCTTCACGACCGTGCCACGACGGCCCCACAGGCCACCGTGAAGGCCACCGACCAGTTCACGAGGCTCGAGAAAAGGGCCCAGAAGAGGACGACGACGGCATCGCCAACGACGACGATGACGACGACGACGCTCAGACGATCAAGGAACGAGGCGGAACTCCGGACGCTTTCGGACGCCACCGCGCCCTCAGAGGCCGGAAGAAGCCTCCAGGGAGGATCTCGGGGGACCTCTGGAGACCTTTGAGACATCCGAGAGGCCGTGTCGTCGTCCTCCTCCTCCTCCTCCTCCTCCTCCTCCTCCTCCTCCTCCTCCTCCTCCTCCTCCTCCCCCTGCTCCTCCTCATCATCCTCCTCCTTATCCTCCTCCTCCCCCTCCTCATCCTCCTCCTCGTCCTCCTCCTCCTCCTCCTCCTTCTCCTCCTCCTCCTTTCTTATAAAGAGGGAGGGGGGAGAGCGTTCCGGAACGCTCTGGAATGGGTTTATCCTCGTCCTAGCCCAGTCCGATGTGTCCCTGTTTGATGGCCCCAGGGCCCCATGGCCCCCAACCGGGTCGGACGAAAGGGCAGGTTCGAAAAGGGGGAGAATGGGAATCAGCTCACGCAGCTGCTTTCCCAGAGCCGGCGCCGAAAGCGTCAGTGTATCGAGGAATGGCCACGCCGAAACCAGCTGCACGCAGCAAATCTCGCACCCCCCCCTCTCCCCTGACCTTCCAAAACGCTAAAAACATTAGCCCTCCAAACCTCTAAACCTATCTGGACTTCCGAGAACCTCGGCCGAAATTTGGACGTCGAGGTCCTGGTGCTGCTTTTTGGCCCTCCCCGTAGGTCCAGGTCCCTCTCCCCCATCTTCGCCCAAGCCGACGGAGGCAGAAGCCGACGAGCAGCGGCCGAACTGGCCGCGCCGCGCGCACCGCCGGCAACGCGGCGGCCCAGGCCGCCGAGGCCTCCCTTCTTCCTTTTTCGCTCTCTCGCGCGCGCGCCGGCGAAGGGGCCACCGCTCCCAGGCCGCGAGCACCGGGGGCTGCCGCCGCAGAGGCAGGCGCCTCTGAGGGGGGAGGCGCGGGGGTAACGATAGGGAGAGAGACAAGCTCCAAGGGGGGGGTCACGTTCTTGAACCTCGACCCTCAAGACGACGACGATG